CATTTGTATAATTACGGCTCAAATTGATCGAAGAATTCGGTCATACCAGGTTTAGCGTAAACATTTCCCTACTTTATTGCGGTAGTCTACATGAAAAGTACTTATTGGGCCCCATCAAATGAAATACCTCTGCAAGGGATTCAACCACCCGATATTTACGCCAGTAGAGAAACAGCAGAATTTTGGAACTTATGGAGCTGGTAAAATACTCTTATGTTTGCTATTGAATAGGTTTGGCGCCGAAAGCGTCAGGTTTTCGAGGGGATGCTAAAGAACCTCTCTTGTCGAAACACTAGAAGGCTCCACTGCTCATTCAAAAGCTTGATACACCACAGACTATCGACAGCCGTCGCGTGATTAGTCGAAGCGAGTCGTTTTATGTTTTTCACCGAAAACCTAATAGAGTATCAGCATCAATTCAACCATTTGAAAATTCCGCACTGTGCTGTCAGGAGCGACTTGTGTGAACTCTGAGTCTGTCTTGGTCATGTGACACAGTTCGGTCGATCTAGTTTCTTATCGGGACCTTAAGACACCATGCGCCGTCCAATGAGACGAGACTTTAGTTTCACTGAGTGAACTGTCTGTTTTTGGCGTCATTGACTTAATAGTCAATCGTGACTTTTTGTTTCACCATTTCATCCATTTTAACTGTGAATATGTATTTAACGGATTCTGAGAATCTGCAGGAATTTTCGAGAATATACCTCTTGAAATGCGTTCATGAACATGGTTCATGTTAACTCTTGGTGTGGCAGATTTATTACTCTTCTGCAAATTGTTGTACATTGATTGGATATTTCTACTTAAGTCATAATTTGGTTCATTGGGAAAATTCGTTTGAAAATTTCTGTGTGAAATCTGATTCGACAAATTACCGCTCACGCGTAACGTTGTTTCCCAGGTCATGTAACATTTCCCACAGTTAACTTCGAGTGTCAAATATCTCACAGTTTAGTAAAGGAATGAACGTTTCCTAACGTATTGATGAAAGGATTCAAAAAAGACTTTTCAAAGCCTAACATTCCTAACTTGAGAATATTTGGTTTCTTTCTATGCCAACCTAACAACTTATACGAAATCAGTGTGTCCAAAGTGAATAACGACCATCTACCAGGAATAAAAATTTTGTTGTATGGTGGTCGTTAGCTACGCACTACTACGCTTCACAATAACGCACTGATGATGTCACCTCGATTGGTGACGAAACGTTTGCAATCAGATTGCCCAGCTCAGCGAACAAGCCAACGACCACCATCTACGATATTTGAGCTACCAACATTTTGTTGTATAATAGTGTAGGATATCACTTAAGGTAAGTTGTACACTTTTGTTTCCCTCACATCAAGTGTTAATGTTGGAGGATTTGTATGACCACTTTAATACCACAAATATGATTGTGGCCATCGAGTGTCGTTCTCGAGAGATGAGACAAATAAAGCCTACAACTGGCCTAGGTTGAAGAATCGCAAAGTTGCAAACAAAAAACGATAACGATGCATTCTGCTGACTCAATTTTTCTGCACAGTTACTGAATTTCAACTTGCTCGGTTTAATCACCGTAGGGCGGAAAATTATCCGACAATGAGAAGAAAACCATTTTTATCCCTAGAGAGCAGTGGGTAATAATTCAGCTAGGCAATCGAATTTTTGCCAAAGGCGGATTTTCTCTTGTGTATATATGAAAGAATTGGCTTCGTACAAGTAACATCGCCGTTTATGTGCCGGATAGTGGTTAGACGACTGAACGTTGCAATATCTATGCAACTTGTGTATATTGCTTGATGGTACTTCGTCACTCTGTAGTGTGATGGTATGTACACGTACATGCATGTAAGATGTATCCCTAGACTGTTGTCCGCAGAAATATTATTGATCATCCACTGGGGCATTTAAATAAATAGGAGAGAATAACAGAAGCGACGGCAAGATCGTCTGTCGGTTAACAACTTAACTGAATGCCGAAATTCGATGTTCCCTGAGAGGGATAAATCTGATTAAGTGTTGAATTTTTGAAGGAATACTCAGATGAACTTTATACCGGTCTTGACCCTGTTCCTTGGCTACGAAAATTAAGACGACTACTCACGCTGATGTTTCGTGGTTTGCGGCCATTGCCAGTTGTTCGGGAAGTCAATTATAAATAGTGAAGCTCACTGCGGAGGAAGCAACACAAGTTTTGACTCAGATTGGTAAAAGGCTATTGGGTACTTGTAAAATTGGAGCTGGAATGTAATATTTCATCAGCCAAAATTTGGCGAACTCCATTTCGGCAGTTGATATAGTTGGACGCGCAGGAACGTCCCAGGAATAGCACATCAAGGTACTATCAGAAAATGAACACGGGGTAAACACAATGCAGTGGGTGTGTCACTAACAAAAGCATTGTGTTCTGCCAGTCAGATTGCGAACTGAGTATGGCTTGGAGAGTAGTGTTGGTGAGAAAGCGTTAGTCCTAACTCTCTTAATATACAAAGGAGCCGCAGTAATATCCCTTTATAACTTCTTTTGATTCCTTCCTACAGACATGTTACGTTTATGGTACTATTATATTTGGTCATTTGGTAGAGATTGTCAGCAATTTCTGAAATCTAGGAAGTTGAGAAAGCGTAACTCGGTCTCCCAATTGGATGACAATCAGCTCAGAGTAATCGGGAAATCCTCAAGTGGTCGCACAGCCAGTAAATCAGAGTAATGTTTCAACAAGGGAGAACGATTCATCTTTCACTTTATGCAGTGTACTAGCTATTCTGAATGTGCAACGTCTACCCACCGACGCTTTGGAAATTACCCACAGTTCCATGATGGAGGCATCGTTATAAGATGGCAACAAACTTATGTTTGCAGAGTGGAGACTTGGCAAACAAGCGAGTCTCGCAATTTAACATCACTATGTGCTCGGTGGCTAAGCATCATTCGATATAACCCATGAATCATGTTTTTGTGCACATGTCTACTGTAAAAGTGACAATACCTTCTGCAGAGCGTAAGTTGGCTGGCACATTTGCTGAGTGATGAATAAAATTGTCTTTCACTTAGAATGGGAGACTTCCGTAGCACGTTCCGTCATGGAAGGGCGCTAATTTGAAGCCGTTAAACTGGTTACATTAGCAAATGTGTAACGTACTGAGTGTTGTAGATCACATTTTACAGTCTGTGTTTGATGATGGATCATAAACATCTATTTAAAGGGGAAATTTCGCGCGTAATTTTCCCTTATGCTCACTATTTTTCCAGATGGGCGGCGATAAGAACAATTGGTTAGATACGACTGAAAGTCTTTTCTTCAAATAATCTGAGAAAAGAATGGTTAGGTACGATTAAATCTATTTTTTCCACCTAGTCTCTTCCCAGACTAGTTAAAGGAAAGATATGTGGTCGTAACTAATCATGTGTTCTACAAGTAGTTTGAGAAAATGCACATATCCACAACGTGGTGCGCTCACGTACCATGCGAGTGACAAATATCTAGCTCGCGCATGGTCACGTGAAAAAAAACAATTATCCTGAGGAATTATCGCATACTGGCGATATCTCTTGCAAAAAACATCTTGTGACGATCGGTAAAGATGGATGAAAAAACCTGTCTGCTCACGTCTTCGTTTCGTGAAGCAGTCATCTTGCATGTGAGTTTCATGGATCCCGCGATAATGTCACGCTAGTCTGAAAGACAGTTCGAGATATCGAGAGACTGGGTTTCCATGAAGTTTTCATTACTATGGGGATAACTAATGTTGAACCAATTAAGTTTGGACGTAATATCAGGTAAATGGACAAACACCTGTCAATAAATCTTGGCCTGAGCTATAACAATGCGAAAACGTAAAAGTGACAAATTCAAAAGTTATTCAAAGGCCTCCGTGTAAATAAACAGGCTAATATATAAAATGGATCAAGTTTAGGCAATTCGCCAACCTTAGTAAAATACACACAACAGTGTGTAACACATTATACGTCACTTGCATTCGCTAACGCATTTATGTGCATGCACTGCAGTCACAGATGATACCTTAGTAACATGTAGCAAGGCATTTCATCCCATCCCTATGTTCTGCGTAGTTTTTTATGGTAAATATCTTATCTACTGTGTGCCAGATACAAATGCAGACCGTCAAACTGTTGCACCCTTTTTCACATGTTTCAAACCTAAGGATCAAGTCTGTGACATGTTTTTTGGGTGATTATTCTGAAGGAATTTCATATTAATATCAAAAAGTGTGGAAACACTGTGTCCGTACCAGTATTACCACTGTTAATATTATGCAGATGAGGGTGTACACTGCGTGCAAAATAGAACTTCTCATAGTTCACCCATACTTCGGAAGATGTATATAGATCAAAACATCTGCCTGTGTCGAACTTTGAAATGCGAACTCATTATGTTGACTTAATTAGGTAGATCCCGACAGCTTCATCAGCTTCATGAGAAAAATTTTTCTGGGAAAATGAACAAGACAAGATATGTAAACCGAAAACCAACCAACTCGTGGGCCATCCCGAAAATACCCTATTCAAAGGGACGCCGGGACATTCAGTCCTCTCATCTTTGACAGACAAGTCTGCACCTCAGAAGCACCTGTTTTTAACATTAGTTGGCCCACGAACAAAGAGCACGCTTGGAGACTCGATGAAACAGTGTTCCGTTCCGCAGTCTTAACTGTCTTAACTGTGCGACGTGGTACCCTCTCCAGCGCTGTTTAGTTATTTTTTCTGGTCGCAAATTGAAGAATTGTTAGTGAAGTAACCGAATTGACGATCCATTATCCCTGTTCCAGTCACATCGGTTTGCTGACCACACCCGTACACACATTCAAACCTCAGCATTAATCACGTGACTAAGCGTTGACCCAATCATTTGGATGAATGGTATTGGTGTGATCGATTTGCGGCAGCAACTTGATGTTCATTGGTCGAGTGGACGGATTGTCAACAGACCAATCGTCGGACGATTATTGGTCGAATGTCCACGTGAACTACTTCACACTAGGTCACATATGGTATAGAAGCGGGTATATGTTTGTTCTGGGAGGCAGTCGTTTTCGTTATCCCAGAATGCTGCAAACTTAGTGAAACTTTCGGAGGAGTAAATCCTGCACTCATTGAATGTGGCATCGCATGTAACATTTCTGTACATTTTCGAACCTGTTTGTTCACACTGCCGCTAACTGGAGACCGGTTGCCGTGACATGGGATCAGCAGTCACTAAACCACGACAACATGCGACATCACTCAATCCTAGCGTTTCCGGAGAGGTGAGTTGCTTTTGTGGTCCTGTTTTTTAATATGTAACTAATTAAGCTTAGCGAGTTGGCGTATCGAACATAAACGCTAAAATGAGGTTGGCTATGAGGTGACAAATGTTTGCCCCTATGACAGAATAGGTCAACTGAAGTCTTGTTAAGTTCAAATCCTGAAATGTCCGGTTTGCAGGACACTTGTATGCCTTGTATGCCTTGTATGTCTAAAAAGTCCTCGGTTGGGTTATTTGACCCGACCGCGCTGGCTAGTAAATGACCTTATGACAAAAGGCTGCAAAGCTTCAAAATCTTTCGGAAAGCTGGAAAGCAAGTCGGATGAGTGCTATCGTGATTTGTTTGTTTGACTATTCACTACATTGGGATGTGAGAGGTTGGCTAACAATCCACACATTCGCTCACTGAGACTGAAACAATGATAAACGAAATGTATTGTTAGAGGACTATTACTACAAGGAAGGTACAAGGAAGCCGAAGGAAATTAAGGAAATTCACTCTGATTAATCAAACCCACCTTGTACAAGGGTTACCTGTGTCCTTTTTTACGGTCTTGTATTCGTGGGTCTAAAACGCGGTACTTCATATCCCATGATGCAGACACGCTTGAAATAAATCATTATCAACGTCATCTCCTATATAAACTACGGAGTTTATGAAGGCCACAGTTGGGTTTGCAGTTGATATTGGCAGATGAAGGAGAATAAATAACGGAGGGTTGCCCAAATTTCTCTCTCAAGGCTGCACTGAAAATGTATCGAGGTATTTTGAATGTTTACCGTTCAGCTGCAGTACCATTCTGGTGCCTAGATGCCATGCAAACCAAAGGAAACACGAGAGCTGACGTAATGCCAGCTTGATCAATTCTAGACAGGAGATGCACAGGTCGCGTTCGAATCACCGACATTCCGGTCAGTAAACTCGTGCTTCAACTACTGAGCCATCTCCGACTCAATGGTGTTTCTCAACGTACGGCGAATGTCAGTGAAGGCAACTGATTGTGCACATTGGCATACCATGTAACGGGCAGTTTCTTCCAAATCATTCCTGATTAATCTGGGCTAACGTGATATTGTATCTCAAACGGTTCCGAAAGGATTTCTTTACCGTGATTTGGCATCCTTTAGCATTAGATCTATGGAGAACAGATGAATTGTTTTTATAGCATCACGACTGATCAAACTAATGGGTGGAGGGTATGTAAAGTAGGATTCGCAGGTTACGGAAATTTAGCAGCAGTTGATATAAAGGAATTCAGTATGGGCTGGCTCAGTGACTTTGCTAATAATCAGCTTAGTGACTTCTCAGCATTCTGATCCAGCCAGCCCAGTAAATACTTCGGGACATTCACACTGGTCAGATGTTTTAGATGTGAAAAAGCTTGTATCGTATCCTTTCTAGCTTCAATGAATTTTATGATTCTCTTATTTTATCAGAAGTCTCTTTCGCGGCGTGTTCTAATAACTGGATCTGGTTAATATTGGTTGAGAACTTGTGTTGGGGACGCCTTCTTAATTCTCTAAGGTCATGTGGATACACTGGCAGTCGCCTTTGTAGAACACTTATAAAAGGAAGTACATGAGCACTGTTTGGCAGCTCTCACCTGGAGTTCGTATGATGCTGAGACTTAATTGAGTCTTACTGGTGTGCACCACATCACTATTCTTATTTTCCTAGCTGATGGTCTGACATACATTGTGTGTACTCAACTTGACTGGCAATTCTCTTAGACGCATGCACCCAGTGACCCTAAATGTTTGCGAAACGTTTGTTTAAAAGATGGTAACCGTTAATTCTGTCCACTAGAGATTACTAGGGCAGAATAATTTTTTACTCGGTGATAGTGAAGGAAAATGGAACAGTCGGGAAATGAGATATCGTATTATTCTATCGAAGTGATGAAATTGCACAGTTGGTTGTGTATAACAGAATCTGTGGATTCTGTCTGTCATCAGAGTGGTCTTTTTCAAAGATACTGTCCAAATGACAGTCGTACAGATGCAAATTCATCATGTCTTGAACTCACAAATAATATTCATTGAATTAGGGATTAAATTTCATAGGATTGCGTAAAGGTTCTTCGGAATATCTTTGAATATCACCAATTCTGACAACTTCATGATGATCCCTTAGTTGATACCATTGATATCAGCCTAAATTATCTTCAGCCTGACTGTAGATATCCTTGAAAAGTTTAATTCACGGCAACACCAACTTCCGATTCTAACCTTTTATTCCAACGCGCTGTCTGTTGATTTTAGAAGCTTCTACATCTTCAGACTGCCCAAAGTCCACTGCGCTAGTTTGTGATTTTTATTCCATACGGGTATTGATAATAGGAAGTGTCAACTGGTGATTTGAATGCATCCTGGTTAGCAGGCGTATTAATACACAAGCACCATTCTGCATAGTACCATGTCCTTTGTCTTTTGAGGTTTGTTTGTACATGCTGACATCTGAGACTGATGTGAATTGCAGAGCTCCATGAAAGCTGCAATCTCAAAATCTATGAGGCACGCATAAAGTCGTACCCAATGAAAAGTACGTCACCTTCTGACCGAGTTTAGAAAATGATAACTGGATAAAACACACATCTTGCCATTTGACAGATCACCAAAAAAGACTGTAAAACATTAAATCCATTTTTCAGTATTTTCCAGTGCAACATCTTGGTATGAGTTCATGCTCCTAGACATGCATTCACTGAATCTCTAAGGCTAGAGTTGGGTTTTCTAATTTGAGGCACATATGATGGCAAAATAGCGTAGCCCAGAATCGAAGGGAATGGGCATACGAGACGGAAGTACAGGCTGTTTTGTTTTCGTGATTGTGACATGTTAGCCTCTGCAACCAGCGAATCTGAGACCTTTCAGGTGGTCGATAACCATTGTCTCATAATCGTAGCTTGCGCGGCCTGATACCGACGAATCCGCAATGAAGCGAATAGGAAACGAGTGTTCTTTGCGCAGAGGAGACGTTAATTCAAGTGTGCATGGCTGTCGATGCTGTAGGATGTGACAGCCAAGCAATACGAGTAATGCTATTTTTGCGGTTTCCCATTCAGATTGTATAATTTAATAGCCAGTACTAAGTCCCTCCTCCATCCGGTTTCCAATAAATTATGTTTACACGAAAGAAGATATCAGTGTTGCACATTGAGGTCGCAAGGTATACGCAGTTTAGAATGCTGTTGTCCGACTAATAGGATGACCCCTAATTTGTTGAACGGGTCGACTTACCTAAATATGATCGTAGCGAAAACCGACTACAACAAAATTGGTAACTATGTGTGACACAACCCTCTGTTAGTGATGTTATTCCTGTCATAAATTTGTCCATGCGTAACTCCAGATGCAAACGTTCACCACAGAGTGGATTAATGGCATGGTTCAAAGAGACTGAATATTGCAGGGTGTCACTTTTTCCAAAATACCTACCCTCCAGTTAGGGCCTTTTGGAACTAAGAGTCAACACTTCAACGTAGACAGAAGGTTGCGCACCCAGGGTGGCTAATCTCTGCTGCCGAATAATGTATTAGTTTTATTGTGTATAAACGTTCAATCGATCGGTAGACACCACAGCACTTACATCAGCGTACATCTGATACTCCAGTAGTTCTAATTTTAGCGTATGCTGAGGTGTGAATATCTTTATTCATAATTTTGTAGAATCGGAATTGCCTTCGCGAAAATTCTGAAGCGCATTGATTTTGCGTCACCATCTTTAAGAGACCTTTGTTTTCCACTCCTCTTCCATTACGGCCGTTTTGTTTCGGCCGAATTACTTCAGTCACAATTAAGCAACACGTTGCGCCAATTCTGGTCGATAGATTGTCAAGGTTACGGCCGATTTGCAACAAGATGTTGAAACAAAGTATTGCTCTAAGTACAATTACAAGTCCCAGATTTTATATCGGCTTTCCTTCCAAAAACCAAAGATAAATCTACTCTAATAAATAAGAAAAAGTAAAACAATCTGTGAGCTAATGGATAATGCGAAATCGGCAAACATCACTGGATATTGGGAATTTTCTAGGTTCATTGTACACATAATGATTGTCTTTCGGCCAAACGAATGTCGGATGTCAAGTTACAGACAAAGTGCATACGATGGACTGTCGCTAGCTCCAGACGGTTCATAAAACGGTAGCAAGCCGCTTGATAAGCCCAATGGTTTTGAAGACCGACAGAACTGTTCACCCAATCCTATTTGCTCCAGGCCATCTCATGCGATTTCACTCATTTACTGCTCTTGATTGTGGAACCAGAAGAGATAATGAGACCGTGTGTGTAAACGGGGTTTTAATTTCCATTGGTGAGCGTTCCCGAATAATAGCTAAGCATACTACGAACAACAAATTTGACTGACTTTGATGTTCTTCTTAGCAGATAAAGCTGGTGTTAGTGGGAGACTCGGATGAATCACAGCTTGGTTTGCAAATTGGTGTAACCAATTTCGAGTCACGTGATTATTGCTGTGCGTCCTAGCGTTGTTTTCTGTCCATTTAGGCAGATATCGCAACATAAATTTATCCGGCTTGTTTTTCAAATACATGCAGGCTTACCGGTATGACATTTTTCATGTAATTAAAGTCAGCCTGATAAAGTGACCATTCGTTGCCATGGTCAAGTTTTTTGCTTCCGATCTCTACTGATAGCAGGAAAGCGTTTTACCTGCACACTCGTGATAGGTAGATCACGCAGCCCAAAGTAACCACGCAACAAGAAAAACCACCTAATCTCGGTATTTTCTAAACTCACCTGTGTTCAAAATCTGGCAAGAAGGGGCTTTGAGTATGCAAGCTAAAAATCGCAACATGGTACAACTCACTAGACCAAATTTTGCTCCCCGTGCTATGAAAATCCAACTGCTTCCAGCAGAATAAAGTCCGCACTCCATCAAATGTCTTGAATAGCATGCGCTTCACACCTGCGAAATGTAAAGTGCTACTTCAAGACTGGGTAGGCTCGAACCCTAGCCTCATGCTTGCGAATGAGCCG